AGATAATATAATCAAATAAAAGCTAAAAAGTCCATTGGAAAGACCTTCATACTGGACATTAAAAGCACCAGTCCAGTGCTAATGTGCGGTTGAAGGTGTGCTTGTGTTTTTCTGGAGAACGCTGACTGGCCTATCTGGGTGCCAGAGTCTGGCTGTATCATGGACCCGAAAGCACAGAGGTGATTCCACCTCTCTAGAAGCTGCTACTCAGTCCTATGACAGTGATGCCTCAGAAACCACACAACTGATGGAAAAGGATGAAACTAAAATGAACCTTAACTGACCTAGGATGCTCAGGAGATGGTATCCAAAAAAAAAACTAAAGGTCTAAATAGGTGTTGAGTGTATAAAGATCACCAAACTGAAACTTTAATGAAAGAAAGGGACAAACGAGTTACTAGTATTCTAAAGATAAAATATACAAATGTTAATTATCGATAAGATTTTGTCTTTTCTCAATCCTTTTAAATGTGAGTTCTCTGCTAATTGACCTATAAAAATTGGACTAGTCAATTTATAGTTACAAATTCTAAAATTGTAAGCAATTATTGTAATTCAATTTGGCTAAAAATATATTTGCATTTTGATGTGTAAGATGTTTGTCAGTCTGTCTGTGTATCTGTTGTCTGTTCACCCAGTCTACTTAAGGAGTTGTTGGGAGTCAAATGAACTAGTGATCATTCATGCATATGGAGTCCAAGCACAAGTGCCATACAGGAGTGCCCAAGTGGCACAGAGCACCTGACAAGTGCCCTGAGGGCACGGGGTGATGGAGGTGAACAGGTGCTCCAACACTGAGAACACAGCGTGTAAGAAGTGAGCCAGCTCATCAAGGGGGCATGATACAAGTATATAAATAGCCCCTGAGGAACTTAGAGGGCTTGCACAGACCGCAACAAATTGTGTGCCTGTTTCTGTGTTTGTTGAATCTGTACAAATCGTTTATGAAATCGTCTATCCATGTTTGTCCATTTGTATACTCTGTAAACAGCTGTTCCTTTTATTTTGAGCTCAACAATTTTTTTCCTTTTTCTTTTGAATTTTTGGATCACTTGACCAAAAGTTGACTGGAGTTAGAGATTTACAAAGCTTAGGTTGCCACCTGGTCCAAATAACCCAAAGACCGGAAATACAAATGTAATATAAATTGTTGTTTATTATGGATTTCAGAGCCCCATTGTTTAAAAAATTAATGGGTTAAATGTTATGATTGGGTTTTTCATCAGTCATCAAAAATAAAAATAAATAAATGAAATGAATAAAAATAAAAACTATATTTTATTAAGATGAGTAAACAAAATCCCTTGGGGTTGGGATTATTGGATAGGACTCTGACTGACAAATAAGAAAGCAGCTGCCTGTTAACTTTTTTAACCAGCTCTTGTTTATTGAGCGGAGGCCCGAGTGATCCACAGCCTTATGGGAGACAGCCCGACTAAAGTTATATAAAATATATTATTATAATATGTTAACATTGATTATCATCAAAAGAAATAGTACAGTAGGGTCTCTGATTTTAAAATGTTCAGACACAAAAGTTTCATATGGCTGTGACAGACTGTTATTAGCCCCATGGTATATTAATGTATGCAGCCTCCCATATATGCAGGTTTTCCAAAATGTAAAACGGGTTATTTGTGGTAACAAAATTTTGTTTCATATTCAAACCTTTGCAGGTACCAAAAACTTAAGAGGTTCACATTCCACTAAAAGTCAGTAAGTTAGGTCAAAGCGTTCATGTTTTAGGTAGGGATGACTGACTAAAAGGGGAACTTTATGTCAAAATAAAAGTTCAGATATATTGCAAAATGTCACGATAATAATGTTATATGTGGTTTTGGCTTCTGATTTTCTGTGTAAAATATATAACTGTTAACATTGTATACATATTCAAATGTTGAAATATCCATGGATAATAGAAACTAAGTTTCATTTAATGTTCTAAGGTGTTTCATATTTAGCTAAGACAGCAATGTTAAGCTCACTGCCTTTGATACACTATATTGTTATCAATCTTTTCTTCTGGATGTTCAACAACTAAGAGACCAAAAATCAGAGACAGATGGACTAAGAAGACAGCCAATGTTTTGGTCCCAGCTCTTCAAAGTCAATGAGGACCCAGGACCCAAAACCACCTCTGCTTGTGTCATCCACAGATACTCAGTGAGTCCCTGGTGTTTTGGTCAAGAAGATTATGAGAACACAGAGTAAAACAGTCTTGGATGAATGGTGTGCCTAAGGAGAGTCACCAGGAGAAAAAAAATCTCCCAAGCTTTCATGTAAAGCACCTATATGATTATACAGAGAGAGGAGGAAACAGTAAGTAGAAAAAAGCTAACAAGAGGCTCTGGAGGTCTGTTAATAATCTCCCTGTTTCTTGAGTTGGGCACTACTGACATAGGTGTGCTCACTTTGTGATGATTTGTGGTTTGGACACCTTTATGTGAACATGTCACATTTCAAAAAACTTATGCTTAAAATGTTCTGGCTGCATTATTAAAAGACTACATTTTTTCCCCACATAATGATCAGATGTAGTGGCACACACTTGAAATCTCAGCACTATGAAGATAAACAGGCATATGGTTTGCAAGAGTGTTAACTGTCTTTTTCTTCCTTAATTTCCTAACTGCATTTTTAGATTATGTAATTATTTTTCTGCTTTCCATACACAAACATACAAATTATTCTGCAATAAATTTCACCTAGTGGCTGATTAACTTAAAAAGAGAGTATTTTTTTAAAAAGTATTCAAAGGCAGACACCTAGGAAAACAAGACTGATAAAAAAAACTGGTCAAAAACATCAGCCAGGTGTGCTGGTGCACTCCTGAAACCCCAGCAGAAGGCAGAAGGATTGCCTCAAGTTTGAGGTCAGCCTGCGCTCCACATTCCACATGGATATAATGCCAACATTAAAGTGAAAGAGTAAAACAAGAGAGTACTTACTTCTCAAATTCTCTTTCAATCTTTTTGGCAAAGTATTACCAGTTGGAATATAAAACCTATTCAAGAAAATGGTGCTAAACACGATTAAAAAATGAATTATTTTAAGGAGCCCATATTAATTTGCACACGTGTGTGTGTGTGTGTGGTGATGGCACTAGGCCTTTCTAATTTCTTAAAAATTTGATTACTATAGAAGGGATTAAACTCTACATTAAACTGAGAACATCCCAGCCCTTTTAATTTTTATTTTGAGACACGGGTTTGCTAAATTGCCCAGGGTATCTAATTTGTAACCCTTCTGACTCAGCCGCTGGGATTACATGCATGAACCACCACACCCAGCTAACAGCCCTTATTAAAATTCCACATCAGAGTTGGAAGCTGTAGATCATAAATTTCAATTTTTCTTATAGAAAGTTTCTCCCTAAACATTCCTTGAAAGGCAATTACTCAGTCTCTATCACTCATAAAATCAAATACATATCAGATTTATTAATAAAGCACAGTATAGAACTAAAGTTTCAGAATTTGCATTTGAAGAAAAAAATTAAAATCAGAAATATTTATGTTGACTGGTCTTTGATATAAATTTATGATCCAAATTTGAGTGGCTCCAAGTGTCATATTTCCTTAATCCACTCATTCTCCCATTGTCACAAAACTCCCTTTTTCAGAAATTACACATTGCTCTTCCATCCATATTCTCAGTCGATGATCCTGACTCTGGTTTCACAATCAGCTTTCACCTACTACATTACTAATACCCCACTTTATTTTTTGCTGATGAACATTCACAATTTAACACCTGTTATCACACTGAAATTGTTCATTATCAAGTACACCAATGACACACTGCTAAAAAGAAAGTCAATTATCACTGGAACCATCAACATCACCTCACACAGCTAGCTGGCCCATCTTCCCTGGTGAGGAAATATTTTTTTCTGGTTTATCCCCTCCCCTACTACTTCACAGACAGCTCCTCATTCCCTGCTCTTGATCCTTCCTCTGGCGTGTTAACCCGTGAGTACGCTAAAGTTTAGGTTTAGAACTCTTCTCTTTGCTAGGCGTACTCACTTCCTTGGTAATCTCATTTAAACACATAGAGTTCATATCTTAAATGTAAACTTCAGGATTTTTCATTTCAGTTTGAACTTTCCCCAAAATTCCTAAAAGATGTATTCAAGTGCATATTCAGTGCTCTCACCTCACATTTAACATTACTACAACTGAATTTCTTATCTTTATTCTGAATATTGCTTCCATCCACAGTCTAATTTTTTAATTTCAGAAATGGGAATTTTGTTCCTCTAACTGCTCTGCTCATACCTTGTGGTCTTCTTGATCTGTATTTCTCTTATACTTTTAACTTCTAATCAGGGAATCCTACTGTACCTACCTTCAAGACCTAACTACATCTTACCAACTTCACTTTAATGTTTGTCTTAGCATCATCTCTTATCTGGATGACAGCAACAGGCTGTCATCTAACTTTGTACTTTCTAGACTTTAGAGGCTATGAACACAACAACTACACTGTTAAACCACACCATATCTTTGTTCAAAATTTTATGGAACCAATTTTCACAGACTAAAAGGCTGTGTTTATAATGGCTTCTAAGACACTATCCAAAGTGCTCCTACACAAATCCTTATTTCCTACTATCTTTTTACCTATTTAGTTCCATACTCAAACCTGAAAAACCTTATTTAAAGCTGGATGTGGTGGCACACGCCTGTCACCCCAGCACTTGGGATGCTGATGCAGGAAGATCACTGTGACCTCCAAGCTAGTTTGACCTATAAAGTGAGTTCAAGGCCAAGCTAAAATGCATAGTGAAACTATGTCTTAAAAAGACCAAGAAAAGGGGGACAACAAAAAACCTTATATAAAAACGCAGCCCCTCTCCCTCTCTTCTTTAACCTGGTCCCCATAAAGATTCTAAGGCTGCTAGTTTTTTAAATTTATCTGTTTCAGAACAACTTTTAGAATCAAATGCTGTCCTTTGAGTATCAATTATATAATGTACAAAGAAGGCAAAGAAAACTTACTCCTTTAACGTGCTCAAAAGTGACATTTTTCATCTGAACAGGATCTACTGCAGAATCAAGCCCGGTAGTAGTCCAGAAGCGGACTAAATGGAAGAAAACAGATGTTAATATTTAACAGATTAACAAAATTTCAATCATCTTAATTTTTAGATGTAAGAAACCAAAGCCTCCAAAATTAAACATCGGAAAAATCTCTGTTCACATACACCGAAACAAAGTACAGAACAGAAAATAGGTCTTCTGATTTCTAGATCATGTTCAAATAGCAAGTGATTCACATTAAAGACATATATTTTTGTACTTTCCTTTAAAACCAAAAATTATTTTCCTGTTCTTGGACTAATAATAGAAAGCTTAAAATCAATGGTTATCAAATTTCAGTATGAATTTTTGAAAAACCACTTGAAAACTGTGTTAAAATGCAAATCTTCAAAACCGTGCTACACACTAATAGTTTGCAGATTTGAGAAAGAGCCCAGGAGGTTGCATTTTTAACAAGCACCTTCAATTATTCTGACACAACTGGTTACAGATCTACATTGTGAAATACATTGCCTTAAACACAGCATAAAAACCCGGTCCATTCATTTAATTAAAAGAAGGAAAGAAATGATTTCACTTTTTAAGTATTCTTCAATAATGACATCTTTTTTTTTTGTTTTTGTTTTTTGTATTTTTCTTTTTTATTGGTACCGGGGATCGAACTCACGACTGTCTGCTTGCAAGGCAGGCCCTTATGCCGCTGAGCTAAATCCCCAGCCCAATAATGACATCTTTAAGCATATGAGAGGAAGAGTTTGGTAGGATAAAATACTTCAAAGCTACCCTGAGCAACTGTTACAAAGTTTTTAAAAATTGCTCCCCAGGTCAAGTGGAACAGTTACAAATGAGTACAGTGATTTCTAATAACTTCATGAAACTAAAAGATTGCCATTAAGACATAGTGAAATTTAAAGGCAAAAGAAAGAAATGCTTGCTCGGTATGGTGGTACATGTGTGTAATTCCAACATTTTGGGAGGTTGAGGCAGGGCGATCTCAAGCTCAGGCCTACCTGGACAACTCAAGTGAGACTCTGTCTCACAGTAAAAAGGACTGTGGATACAGCTGAGTGCAGGTCTTGGGTTCAATTTCTTAGACAAAAACAAAAAAAATTTCTAACAGAAGAAATGCCTAACACAACAGGAACACACAAGTGGGAAAATACATATGTAAAACAGTAATTCTAGAATGGACACTAACAGTTTGAGCCTTTTAATGAACTGTTTAAGGATCTTAAATAATTACAAAGAATGAACATATGGTAAAAACTGAATGATAGCTGAGAAAGTAATTAGAACCACCTACATGTGGTATTTATAACTGTATTTCAGAACTGCAAACTGAAAAGATACTGGATTCATCTGATTAAGAAAAAATTCAATTTATGGGCTTGTCTTTGAAGCACAAGACTGCCTTATATTGTTATTATAACATCCTACATGATGCTAAAATTTGATCATCCCACATGTATCATTTTCTAAAACCCTAGAAAACTAACCACTAGGAATGAAAGGTCTTGTAATGCAATCCACCAGCAGTTCCTTACCAGGTGCCACACCCACGAACCCCCAGAACCACAAGCTAAAATCAACCTCTTTCTTTTAGAAAAAGTACTCAATAGTCAGCCTTGGGTATTTCATCATTGAAACACAAAAAGCCTACATAATCTACAAACAGTGAAAAGGAAAAGAATATTTAAAGAAATAAAAAAGTTGCCGGGGATTTAGCTCAGGGGCACACGTGCCTGCCTGGCAAGCACGGGGACATGAGTTTGATTCATTACCACAAAAAAAAAAAAAAAAAAAAAGAAAGAAAGAAAGAAAAAAGTTAACATGGCAGATAAATAAAAGCATCCTTACCAGATAAAAATGGATTTTTTAAGAGTCCATAAATGCCAAACAGAAGCAGAACAAAAAGAATTAAACGAGTTCGCCTTAAAGAATCTGGAAGAGAGAGAGAAAGGCTTAAGCTGAATACCACCAATGAGATATTGCAGCTAAACAAAATGCAAGTATCAGGATACTGATAATTATACTTTTATAATGTGCAATTTTGGAAGCTAGCATTCTTGTGCACAGCCACAGCCTTTCAGCATCTTCTTCCTCAAAACTTTACGAAACCACATATGCTTTCTGTTCTTGACTTATCTCTTGAGAAAGTAAACTGCCAATATTTCTACTCAAACATAGTTTAACTTATAATGGAATACACCCATGTAAGAAGATGGATGAATTTTTGTTTTTTGAGACAGGATCCCACTATTTAATTGCAAGCTGGCCCTGAGCTCACTATGTAGCCCAGGCTGGTCTCAAACTCTTAGTTATCCTCCAGCTGCAGCCTCCTGAATGCTGGGAAACAGGATGAATGATTTCAGAAAAGTCATTTGTAATAGTTTAAATGTAGGCCTATGACATCTTTTCAGTTATTTTTCTCAAATCAACTTACCATTGGTTTTTTGTGTTAATGTTTGAGCTTTCAGAAAACCCTCTGCAAAACCAGTTTTAAATGCATCTTGTTGAGCTTCAGGTATGTTTTTCGTTTTCATGAGTTTGTCCAAACTCTCAACATCTGCTCCTCTGTCCCGCAAAAGAAACCCCTACATGCATGAAATAACACAACAGTATTTATTGGTCAACTGTACAGACAGGGATAATACTCATTTATGTCATCATCACCCACTAAAAATTAATTGCAAGTCTAAAATTTCATTTCTATTGCCAATGTGAAGAAATTAAGATTCAACATCAAATTAATCAACTGACCAGGATACTAATTCTAGATCCCACACGCACACAAATCAATTATTAACATAAAGAAAGTGTCATTACTCTGCACTACACTATACTGAAAACACTGCCACATAATGCTTAGGATTATAATGGTCTGATATTCACCGTACTTTATCTCTGCTGGAGGAAAAATTTCATTACCTTATTAAGATTAAAGTATTATTCTGCATGGCTAGGCGTAGTGGCATGCACCTGTAATCCCAGCACTCAGGAGACTGAGGCAGGAGGATCATTGTGAGTTCGAGGCTAGCCCGGACTACAAAGTGAGTTCAAGACCAGCCTGAACTGCACAGCAAAACCCTGTCTCAAAAAGACAATAAAATAAGAAAATAAAATATTGCCCTGCACATACTAAGCCTAGTTCTAAAAATATAAAGATAATTAAGTCATTCTTCTTAAAGTTGCTAGCCCACTAGGAAAAAATATATAAATATTTTCTTAAAAAATGGTTTTGGCAGTGTGGAGCTTCCTTAAAAAACTAAGATTGGTGGGCCCATTCAACCCAGTTATTCCCCTCTGGGTATCTTCCCAAAAAGAATTAAAAACATCATACCACAGAGATATATGTGCACCCATGTTTTATAGCAGCTAAGTTTATAATCGCCAGATCTTGGAAACAACCTAAATGGCCACTGACTGAGGAATGGATAAAAAACATGTGGTATTTTTATACAATAAAATATTACTCAGCCATAATTAATGATAAACTGGACATTTTTATAGGTAAATGGATATACCCTGAGAACATATTCATTAGTGTGACAAGCTGAAAGAAAAACATATATATGTGTATATGTATATAAAAATAGTTAAGACAGTTATACTACTGATTTCGCTGAGTTCGCTGAAGAGAAAGATCTGTATTGGTATTGTTTGGACAACTGAACACAGATGTCTTGTACTCTGGGTGAATGATTTGGGGATGACAACGTACAATGTATGTACTATTACTACCTCTGACTGATGTGCTTTGAAATTTTTTTGTACTTTTATGTTTGAATAAAATGGATTTGAAAAAAATAAAGTGCAAAGAAAGAAAAAAGAAAAAAGATTTTGGTATCTAGTTATCGTAGCAAAAGAAATTCTATATACGGAAAACCACAAAGACCTTACAGAGAATGGACATAGTAACTATAGAGGAAAAACATGACAGAGCCACGGGACAGCATTTAAGAACTGTGTGTAATTTGACACATCTTGCAGTCAAAAGCATGGGACAGGGAAAAGACTAAGTGGCATACCAGAAATGAGAACCAAAACAAATGGTCAGTAAAGGTTTGAAATGCCCTGTAAATCAGACTGAGTTGGGTCATCATTTTATTACTTAACATTTTTTTTTTTAATCAGGGATTGAATTCACTACCTCACAGTTACCATTAGTCTCTTGACATTTCTGAAGAATAACGTTTCACCCTTCCAAGAAAACCAAACCAAAGCCAAACCCATGTTACACTTTGGCTCCCATGGCCAGCAAGGAAGAGCCCTGTGGCAGTGGCAGGGCGGGGTAGTCCAATAGCAGGTGGCCCCTTTTCCAACTTACCACAGTTGCCCACCTGTTCAAAGCCAGGGCACTTTCCTCATGAGCACATAACGTACATAGTCACTGCTGCCTCCTCCCGCACTCACACACCCGCACACGCACACCCGAGTGTCTGTGTCAGGGATGCTGCCTACTGACTGTGAGGCCGCTTGGCCGCGGGCGCCTCCTCCTTTTCCTGCTTCAGCCATCGCACCAGCAGGCCTGCACCACCTCTCTTGGCGGGCAGCGGGCTCTTCTGCAGGAACTGGCTGGACCACTGGGGTGTGTCGGACTTGTCCTTCTGGGGTGTCTCTTGGTCTTCCTTTTTGGGTGACTTCGTGGCTAGCCACTGCATCATCTTTTGGCTGCTGCCACTTGCCTTGGGCTCCTACGAAAGAAAAAGGCTCATAGCACCCAGTTCCAGCCTCCTGAATGGGCTGACTCAGTTAGAAGCCAAAAGAGGAGGAAGGCACTGGAGGGGCTCAGAGCATGGCAGAGAACAGAAATAGCACGTAGTGCTAGGAAATGAGGTTGGACTCGCAGTCCACACCCTCTGTGCCCCTTGCAGTCCCCACCGCCCAGCCCTGAGCAAAAAGATTCTGAATTAGCACAATGTGCCCTTCACAGAGTAAAGACCACACGGAAATGGGGCAGTGTCTGATGCAAAATGAAGATATATACATGTTTCATTTTAGAGTGAAAAACACGTCAGGGTAACAGGAGTTTGCAGAGACAAAAGAAAAATGAGGGCTGGGGATATAGTTCAGTGGCACAGTGCCTGCCTGGCAAGAGTGAGGTCTTGATTTTTAGTACAAAAAAAAAAAAAAAAAAAGAAAAGAAAAATGATGGCAGTGCCTATGGTAAGGGGAAAACAACTGTAAGAGAAACAGGACAAGGTGGTTGTCCTGGTGGCTTTTGTCCCGACACTGCTCTGAGCATGAACTCTCCAGGTCATCACAGGATCTCGCTGTGTAATCCAGGCTGGCCTTGAACTTAAGGTCATCTTTCTGCCTCAGCCTCTCAAGGGCTGAAACAATCAGGTGTGCACCACCATGTCTGGCTCGATGGGGTCAGTTAACTAAACTTAGGAACTTCCTCTGCACTGCAGGCCTCCCGTCCAGCCACTTTCCCTCCCCACACCCTGGGTCCTGTGAATACTGAGAGGGAACAGGGCGCTTCTCCACCTTGTGGCTGAAGCAGGTAACAGAAGAGACTGCAGAGGCCAGCGGCCTGAGAGTGGACCTCAGCAGGCTGAAGGCTTGTGTCTTCCTCAATCACCTTCAGGAGAATTTGGTTTACCAGGTTCACCAAGGATGCCTCCAGTTTCCTTTCTTTTTTTTTTCCATTTTTCTGGCTGGGAATTGAACTAGGTTTTTAAAATTTTGAGATAAGACTCTTAAGTCATTAAATTGCCCAAGCAGGGTTTGCACTAGTTATCCTCCTGCCTCAGCCCCTCAGGTAGCTGGGATGACAGATGTGCAGCCCTGCATCCAGTTCCAAAGCAATTTCTTTTTGTATGTGGGGGACTTTCTGAGGCACAGTCTTGCTATGCAGTCCAGATTAGGCTGGAACTTGCAGGGATCCTCCTGCCTCAGCCACCAGAGTGTGGTGGCTGATTACAGGTGGGTTAGCCCAGGCAGAGAGTGCTTCTGGGGGTGAAAGCTGGGACTAGAAAATGCCATAGGCTGAGAGACAAGGCAACATGACAGGCCCCTACCTTCTTGACCACCAAGTGGACAGGAGTCAGACACTCAGGGCTGTTGTTCCTCGAGTTGTTGACAATGGGGGAGACAGCGTGGAAGGTGATGTTCTCTGTGGGGCGGATCAGCTTCAGTGCCTCCTGAGTAGGGATATCCCCAAAGTCTAGCCACCTGGACACGGCCTCCTCTCCATCCAGGATGGCAGGCATCCTATGAGTTGGGATGTTGGGGCAGAGACAGTGAGGCAAGAGAAAGATACAGACTTGAGTCAGCTGACAGCAGCTACCCAGAGGCCACACCCATGCTCTGTGTCTCCCTTCTCTGTGCTGCACAGAAAAAGCGAACAGGGCCATGCTTGGGACTGGTGCATTAGCGCTCAGGCTAATAAACTGGTGGGCTTCCTACAGTCCCCAGCCTAGAACAAAGAACAAGGGATCCTTGAAAACTATCTATGAACAATCACCTCTGGTCTCATGACCCATGAAAGCCTATAGTAAGAAAGGGCTAGCTGGACACAGCAGCACTCGCCTGTAGTTCCAACTACTTGGAAGGCTGAGACAGAAGAATGCTTGAGCTCCGGAGTTTAAGGCCAGCCTCGGTACAGGGTAAGAGCCTGGCTCAAAAGAAATCCTTAAAATCTTTTTAACCTGAGTGTATTTTATGATAAATGGCATCTCTGCTTGTATTATAGATTACTTAACAGTAATTAGCAGTGTATTTTTGAAATAGGCACTTGCCTTGAACTCACTAACCCAGGCTCCTGAGTGCTGGGATTACAGGTATGTGCCGTCAAACCCAACCAACAGTGCTTTACCTTTCTTTTTTTGGGGGGGGGGGGACATGACAAGGTCTTGCTATGATCCTGTTCAAGGGTGGCCTTGATCTCACAGCAACCTTCCAGCCTCAGCCTCCCAAATATAGGCTACCATGCCCAGCCTGTTTTACTTAACATACAAAACGATGTTATAGCATTCTGCATGGCTGAGGCAGGAGGATCACAAATTTAAGCCCAGCCTGAGAAACTTAATGGCGCTGTCTGAAAATTAAAAACAAAAATGGCTGTGTATGTGTGTGTGTGTGTATATGTATGTACAGATAGCTCGACGTGAAGGCCCTGAATTCAATACACAAAAACTAAAACAACTATATCACACAAAAGCATATTTTCATAGAGCTCAGGACAAGGCAGGTAATCCTAGTAGGTACAGTATTAACAATCTTTGCAACAGAACAGCAAAACTGTATATAAGTGTGTACTCAGATCTGGCAGTAACTATAAAGGTGTTATACAAGTACAGTCTGTTCTGCCAGTGCTTGTTTTTAAACTACAAACCTGTTTCAGTGTGACTGATGTGTCAAGAAGCAAATGGAGCAAAATGCAAATTCTGCATTTGCTTCCGCTGCATTTCATGTGTGCAAACGGAGTTGAACACAGGAAACTGTTTCTGTGGAGAGCCTGAGAAGGGCACGAAATGCATGCATACAAGCTACCTGCGCTTGCAAGGAAGGTCTCCAGGCTGAGCTCTATCCTTCAGTGCCTGGGAACTTCCTGTGTGTATATTTCAAGCACCCATTTCACTTCTCCAAAGCAGCTCAGCTGCCTGGCTCAGAACACGGGTGGGCAGTGCATGGAGAGCAAACAGAAACATTTTAAATACTGAGGAACTTGAAATAACAAAGCATCTTCAAAGAAAAAACAAGAACATGTAATTATCTCCAGAGCAACAGATAAAAGGAATCCACAGCAGCCACAACACTGCAAAAATAGAAGAAATATCTATGGCTGGAGCAATTCCAAGAAGTAGTGTGAAGTGCTGACAAGGCCTAAGGAGCAGAAGCCAAGGAAACATTCTTTAACAAAGGAAAAAGCTTTTCTTACAAGGAAAGAGCACTATTTATACATGAAGACCTTAAACACTCTGAACTGGCTTCTTTGAATGCAAGTGTTGTGGCTTGGTGCCTTCTGCTATCAGAAGCTGCAGCACGGATGGAAACTACCCTCAGGAATTTCCAGGGTTGGGGCTGGGATGCAGTGCAGTGGCAAAGCCCCTGTCTAGCATTATTGGGCCATCAAGCCAGGCCTTGGTACCACCGGGGCACAGGAAAAAGCACGTAAGTGGTTTCATCCCAGCATCACACACAAAAAATATATAAAAAATTTCTAGTCATCTAGAAATTAAATGGATGAGGCTATACATTGGATGAAATATTCAGTTTTTTTGGAAGAGGGTCTCATGGGGTAGCCCCAGCTGGCCTTGAACTTGCAAGCAATTCTCCTGCCTCAACCTTCCAAGTATTAGGGTGACAGGCATGAGCCACCACACTTGACTATTTATTTTTAAACTCAAGGCCTAATGAATACTAAACATATGCCCTACAACTGAATTAAAACTCCAAGGCCTAAACTTTTTTTTCTTTTCTTTTTGAAACAGGGTGTCACTATGCAGTTCAGGCTGGCCTTAAGCTCACTTGGTAATCCAGGCTGGTCTTGAATTTTTGACAATCTTTCTGCTGCAGCCTCCCAAGTGCTGGGATTACAGGCACGTGCCATCACGCCCAGCCGTGGGCCTAAAATTATTTTAAAATGTCTGAAATCTCAATGAATTTCATGTGATTTTGACTCTAGTTTTGCAGTGTGATGATTTTTAAGAATGCATGTCATGTTATATCTAAATTGAATATAAGTATTTGAAAGACAGCTTTTTCTTTTTCTTTTTGGAGACGTGGCTCACTATGCAGCTTAAGCTTGCCTTGAGCTCGCAATAATCCTCCTGCCTCAGTCTCCTAAATGCTGGGATTGATTATAGGTGTGCATCACTGCCCCTAGCTAGTTTTTAAAACTACCTACCCAAAAGCACAAAGGACAGACTTTCATCTGCATTCTTTTGGATCCAGGGATATTAAGTGTGACTTTAGCCAAGCATGGTGATGCACACCTATAATGTGAGCTGCCCAGGAGGCTGAGGCAGGAAGATCATGAATTCAAGGTTAGCATGGGCAACTTAGTGAGAACTTGTCTCAAAATACAACAAGGAAAAACTGGCTGGGATTGATGCCCAGAACTAGACACAGAAAAGCTTGCCTGTGGTGGATATCATGCAAGCTTTTGCAGGAATCCACGGTAATGATGGTGTAGGAATACAGCAGGTCTCCTCCCTCGGGGGGCTCCCAGCAGTCAAAGATCCCTGCCATTGTCAGCGGCCTCCAGTGGTCCCAGACTTTTTCCCAGTCCTCTGTATTGTCCACAGTCCCACTGTTGCCTAGCTGCAAGCAAAAGAGGCAAATGAGCTTTTTGCAAAGGCTGGGCATGCCTCATACTGGACAGCATGGGGATCATCACAGGGGCGACTCTGCCATCACCATTAATCCCTTGACCCACTGCCTGCAAGAGAAGGAGGCTTGGTGGCATAAAACTCCTTCTGCTTGACATGTAGGCTGCTGTGGCTGCCATGTACACCATTTGGTTGGGTGTTTGTTTTCATGGTGGCATAGGCGTACCGGTGAGTGTGTGCCATCAAGCTTCACACTGTTTACCTGCACCAGCTGGCTGTCCTAACCTAATGACCCATGCAATCTGGTTGCCCACTTGCTGGGGTAACCTCCTCAGCCATCCTGACTTTCCTTCTCATCACACTGCTTCTACTTAAGGTACAGGATTCTGTTTAAGATCTGCAATACAGAAAGCAACAAAAAGCACCTCTTTTCACCTTAACAGTAAGGAAAAAAGCTACAGAATTTACATACCTATGCTTTCTCTCAACCTTAACAGAGAGCCGAGGTTGCCAGGCAACCAGGAAGGCTAAATGTAAGCAAAGGCGGGAGCTGGATGGGAGCAGGAACAGACATTAGCTGACGGTGGTGAAAAGTGGGACGCAGCAACTTTGGGTAGCAGCAAAGATTCAGATGTAATTACAACCACATGTGACAGCAGAGCAGGCAACCCACAGGCTGCTGCCATGAGCTCCCCATGCACCCGAGGAAGGCAGGGGAGGCAGGAGGCATGGGCGGGCATGGGAGGTGCTCCTCTGCAGAAGGACATACAAAAGGAACACGCTGCAGGGCCCTGGGAGCAGGAGGGCCTGTGAGGCAATGAGCAACCTCAGGAAAAGGGTGAGGCAGACTGGGAAAGCCAGAGACTGACGGCCTGTGGGCCAAACTGTGACAAAGAACCACTGCCACCCTGCAGCTCGGCAAGCACAAGTGACACACAGGCAGAGTAAGAGCAGAGACCTCGCCAAGGCCCAGGCTTCCAGGGAGTCCACAGCCACAGCAGTACCACGGCAACAACCTTCTGCACTCACTCTTGCCAAAGCACTACATACCACTGGAGAACCAGAAGAAGGGTGACAAGGGAAGCATGATTTCAGTCAAAGGCCACGACAGTCCCCCGACTGGACTGGCATAGTAAAAGCTTAATGGAAGAATTGCCAGAAGTATTATTTACTTCAGTTTCTGTTTTACATGTTATGCCTGACAATAACCAAAAACTATCAAGGCTGGACACAGTAAGGCACACCTTTAATACCAGTACCCTGGGAGGCTGAGGCAGAACAATCCAAAGTTTGAGACCATTCTGCGCAAATTAGTAACTTAACAAGATCCTGCCTCAAATAATAAAAGGGATGTGCCTCATTGCATAGATTCAATCCCTACTACTGAAAAAGAACAAAACAATAAACTGAACACAAGTCAATGAAAATTGTCCAAACTGAATCACTGGAAAAAAAACACAGAAGAGAACATCTAAGAACTATGGGATAATATCAAACCACCTAACCCTTGTAGAATTAGAATTCCAGGGATGAGGGTATAGCTGAGTGGTGTACCAAATATCAGGTTGTGAGTTTGGTCCTCGGCTTTTACTAAAAACAAACAAACAAACCAACAAAAAAGCACAGCATCAAAACAACAACAGGTGTGCTGGCACATGCCTGTAATACCAGAACTCTAGGAGGCTGAGGCAGGAGGATCCAAGTTTGAGCTTAGCATGGGGAACTTAGCAAGAGCCTATCTCCAAAAAAAGGTGGGATGTTACATGTACAAATGCCCTGACAGTTCAATTTCTAGCACAGAAAGGAGAAAAAAAGACAGACAGAAAAAGGACAGAAAGAAAGAATGACAGATTGAAATAAATTGAGCATAGTGGCACGTACCTGTAACACCAGACCTGAGGCGGCTAAAGCAGGAGAATCACAAGTTTGAGGCTATCGTGGGCTACACAGTAAGATCAAGGTCAGCTTTTGGCATGATCAAAAGCATAGTGAATTCTGCTGCCAAGTGCCGTTCAATGAAAAGGTTTATTTGCAAAAACATGACAGTGTGTCTTTCTCTACCTTATTCACTGGATCTGGCACTATGACATTTCTGGCTCTTCTCCAAAGCCAAAATCACCACGAAAGGTAAATGGTTTGAGTCAATTAAGGTCATCAAGGCACCACGACAATGTAATTAAAGACATGAAAAAGGACTTGGAAACTGCTTCATAAAGTGTTAGAATTGAGAAAGTAGTATTCGGGGGCTGGAGATTTAGCTCAGCGGCATAAGCGCCTGCCCTGGAAGCAGGCAGTTGTGAGTTCGATCCCTGGTACCGATAAAAAGGAAAAAGACAAAAAAAAAAAAAAAGAGAGAGAAAGTAGTATTCTGAGGGGGACTGATGGCAATGTGTCTTTCACTGTAATAAATGATTTAAACACTTAAACACAGCCCCCTTTTTAAAAAATCTCAATAAAGCTGTTGCTTAAAACAAAACAATACAAACCAACCTCCATGAGGGAAGGAAAAAATGTCCTTTGGGTCACTGTCAAGTATCACTGCTGGACCCTTTTAGGAAATGCATCCCAGGCAATTTCAGCACAGCGTTGAGCACCACAGTGTAAACAGCAGAGCCTGCTCTGCACCAGGCTACATGGTACAGCACTATCGCACATGGCCATCACTGAAGGAAGTATCGTCATGTGGTACAGGATCTTGACTTGTCCCTGTCCTTCCTACAGTATACTGCAGACAGCTGCAGATACCTGCTTTGTCTCAGTCTGAGGAAAATAGATGAAGTATGGTTGCGGCTGGCTTGTTCCATGACATCGTTGCCACTCAAAGAATCCATCTGCTAAGACAACACAGCGTCTTCCCTTTCCCAGCGGCACCTTAGAGAAAAGTGAGCATGACACAGTCATGTTTCAGAGATAGCACCAAGTTAAAATTTCAGTCACCGTATGAACCAGGAGAAGATATTTACAGAGTTCTCTGTATCTCACTTTTTTGTTTTCTTTGTAGTCGTGAGGATGGAGCCCAGGCTTTACACGTGCTAGGCAGGCACTCTATCACCAAGCTACCCTAGTCCTTTTCATTCTGAAACACTCTTACAAAGTTGCCCAGGCTGGGCTACAACATAGTAATCCTCAGGGGCTGGGGATTTAGCTCAGCGGCATAAGCGCCTGCCTTGCAAGCAGGCAGTCTCGAGTTCGATCCCTGGTACCGATAAAAAGGGAAAAAGACAAAAAAAAGAAAACATAGTAATCCTCTTGCCTCAGCCCCCCAAGTAGCTGGTATTATAGGTCTAAGCCACCGAGTCTGCCTTACTTATGCATAAAGTCACCATTCCAATACACTGATGCTGAAAAGTACATAAAAGCAAGTAGCTTTTTTTTTAGTAAGTAGGTACGCATAGTAGCTGGTCTCTAATGTTGGCCCCCAGTTAACCACATATGCTTCCTGGTACCCACAGCCACACAGTCCCCTGGTATACTACGCAGGGAGGACAACAGCATTTATCCTGCCTTGAGTCGTGAGCTCTGTGCTCAAGGAGCTGCTGTGTCAGTGCCTGAGTACTCCATACCCTCAAGCTAGGAATGGGGAAGGCTTCCAGATATTTTAGCTCTAACCCTGTTATGGCTTGTGTCTAGATGTCTCCCTAAAGCCTCATGGGGTCATACAGGCAGATTTTTCAGAGGTGGTTGGATATAGAGTGTGTGATCTTGAAATTGATTCATAGTACAAAGCTCAAGGGTACTAAGGTTAAGGGTATGAGTGCTACCTACTTTAAGTAGACTGGATAAGATAAAAGGGGCCAAAAGACACTGTCGAGGCCTCTTGCTTGTTTTGCTCCTTTCTGTCTGCCATGAACTGGTTCTCCTCTGTGATGTCCTTCTGCCAAACCACCCCTGCCTTGGAGCCAGTAGATTATGGGCTGAAATCTCTACAAACTGTGAGTTAAAAAACCCTCCCCCACTTTAACTTTAGGTGTTGGGTATTTTGTCTCAGCAACAAGAAAGTAACTAATATACCTTCCCAGCTGAGATGGCAGGTGGACATCCATTCCCAGCTATCCCCTGATTATAAGTAAGTCCACACAATACAAAAGAAACACTTATGTTAAGTGACTACATTAGCACAGGTGGTGGTGCATGCCATAATCCCTGTAATTCCAGCACTCTGTGAAGCAGGAGGACTGAGAGTTTGAATCTTAGCCGGGGCAACTTAAGGAGGCCCTGTCTTAAACTAAAAAAATGTAAAAGATGTAGTTCACTGAAGGCCTTAGATTCAGTTCCCAGTACTACAAAAACACCAAAACAAGATGAAACAAAAAACCCACTATTTTACAGCACTCAACATAAACAATTTGGCTTTTTTTCTTTTTCTTTTCTTTTTCTTTTTGGAGACAGGGTCTCACTATGTAGCCCAGGCTGACTTCAAACTCAGGGCAACCCGCCTGCCTCAGCCTACCAAGTGCTGGATTATAGACATGAATTACCACATTCAGTCAACATTAACAGTTTGCAACCTTATTTTATTTCTCAGTTATACAAGGCACTAAACAGCTGTCAGAAAACAGAGCACGTGCCTTTTCTCTAGACCAGTGACCTACCTTGAACGACCATTTCTCCAGGATGGTATCACTGCGACAGTTGATGGTGTTGAATTGCAGCTTGGAAGGGTCACTTTCTTTGAACCAAGAGGGGACCAGGCCCCATCTCATGGGAGCAATGATCTGTTCTGATGAGTCTGCGTCCTGCCATAGAAAAAGGTTAAGAGCAGTGAGATACAATAAAATCTGAAATACCAAACAGACATGTATGTTATATTAACATTAGCATGAAAAGACAAATAGCACACAATTTTGCAAAAAAAAGTCTACTTTAAAACACTGAAATGGCTCACATGACACAGACGATTTGAGTTGCGTTAGGGAGGGGACACAAAGAGTTTTGAATTTACCATATTTTTTTAAAAATTTTATTTAAAAGGAAAAACAGAAAAACACAAAACAAAACAAAGCGGTGTAAGGGTACAAGTAATACAGAACTACAAAAAAAAAAAACAGTAAGAAATCACCAGTTAATAGATCACACATTATCATCATAGAGATAGTTGCTCAAGTCATAGTATCAAAGCATACAAAGTGAACATTCAAACAGAGAGACTGCAAACGGTTGTGTTCAATGATCCAACCAAAAACATTAATATGGTCAGCTATTTAACACCCCTAAACACACTTGCAGTTGTATCCTTTAGAGCACTTTTTTTCCCTCTCTTTTTTACAACAAAATTTACACATTTTGGGTTTTATTACTCCTTAGTTCTTATTACTTTTTTTTGGAAGAGAATAAAGTCAAATATGGCAAAACAAAGCTGTCAGTCAAAACCAAGGATAGACATACTACATGATGTAAAAACAGAGTACAAGGTTATCAACAATGGTTACCATAATGCCTCTTGCTTCCTTAAAAAGAATTGTCTATCTCATCAGGTATTATAAAGTTGAACAAAACAGTAGAGAACAAGACCAATAAAACTTAAACATTGTAAACATTACAGGACTTCCAAAGGAGATAACAGTCAAACCAGAATGGGCATCTTAGTGAGTCTTACTGCCTTCAAAGTAGTTGCCTATACCCTCAAACTTGATACTATCATACAGAACGGAACAGAGTCTAATCAGTCAAAACAAGATAGTGGGAGTATTGCAGGACTTCAAAACAAGTTAATAGGAAATCAAAAAAAGTTACTATAGTATATCCTGCTAATTTTTAAAATTTTTCCCCTTAATTAAGAAAACCATAAAAAATAACTAAATAATTTTTTAATGAATAAGGGAGAGATTGAGATAAAAGAGGACATAACAACAATACAGGTCAAAGCAAAACTGTTTCAGCAACCTAGTGCTTCACCACCAAATAATCTGACTTAATAGTAGTTATCATAGTGTCTGTCTTTTTCCTTAAAATATTTGAATATAACTTCATATACTATAGCTTCAAATATTTCCATATCAAGAAGCCCAGAATAAAGCCTTTCCAATTAGTAAATAAAAACTTTATAAGGCTTCAAGGCCACATAATGGGGAATCATGATTACCACATATTTTTATTTATTTATTTATTTTTTATCTTTTTTGGTACCGGGGATCGAACTCATGACTGCCTGCTTGCAAGGCAGGCGCTTATGCCACTGAGCTAAATCCCCAGCCCCTACCACATACTTTTATATATTTGAATCATTACTTACCATATTTTTTTTAATCTGTACCTTTGGGATAGACAGATTTCATGTGGCCCCATTTGGGGGGGGGGTTTCAGGGGATTGAACTAACGACCTCACACTTGCCAGGCATGAGCTTATGCCGCTGAGCTAAATCTTCAACCTTGGTCCCAACATTTTTAAAACACATGTTAAAAACGGATGTAGTGGCTCACACCTGTAATCCTAGCATTTGGGGAGGCCAGGGTAGGGGATCACTGTGAATGAGTCCAGCCTGGGCTACAAAGTGAACTCAATGCCAGCCTGAACAACACAGCAAGACTGTGTCTCAAAAAGACAATAAATAAATAAAACACCTGTAGTAGCTCAATGGTATAAGTGCCTGCCTGGCAAACACGAGGTTGTGAGTCTGATTTCTAGTACCAAAAAAAAAAAAAAAAAAACAAACTAGGCATGATGGCGTACACCTGTAATCCTGGCACTTGGGAAGCTAATGCAGGAAGATCATTGCAAATTCGAGATCAGCCTGAGCTATAAAGTAAGCTCAAGGCCAGCCTGAACTGCATAGTGAGACCCTGTCCCAAAGACCAAAACAGAACCAAAAAAACAGGCCAGGGATTTAGCCCGGTGGTAAACTCCTGCCTGGAAGCATGAGGTCCGAGTTTGATCCCCAGTACCAAAAAAAAAAAAAAGCAATTAGGTGACAGACCTGTAATCCTGACTAGTGGGAGGTTCAGGCAAGAAAATGGCAAATTTGAGGCCATCATGGGTAACTTAACAAGTTACCCATGACTCAAAATTTTAAAAAAGGGATCTAGGGAGACAGCTCAGTGGTAGAGCACTTACTTGGATATGTACAGCCCTGGGTTCCAGCCCCAGAACTGAAAAAAGTAAGCACTGAGAAGTAGTTTTGTGTAGAAGAGTTAATACTGCGGACCAGAAGATGCTATTTTAGAAGGGTCTACTTACAAGCTAACCTTCCATTAGCATTTTGGAACTCGAGTTTTGAGAAGGTTCACACTTTTTCCTATTGGACAAAGTGGTTTACTCTGCCTAGTCTCCCTGAAGGAAAAGATAAGCGGAGATGGTGATACATACTTCTAATCTGAATCAGGAGGCTGAGGGAAGAAGAGGCTAAATTCCAGGCCAGTCTGGAAGACTGAGGCCTTGTCTCAAAAAATAAATAAATAAAACAAAAAACCAACACCACCAAAAACAACCAAGCCAAACCAACAATAAGGTTAATGCTAAACGTTGGGCTTCTGTTTATTCATTCATTCATTTACTTACTCTGTGTGTCTTATTATGTACTCCAGGCTGGCCTTGAATTCAAAGTAATCCTCCTGCCTCAGCCTATAATGTGCCACCATACCTGGCTCTGTAGTTTTGCATGTATAATTCTCTTCACACACACACAATACACACACACACACACACACACACACACACGGAGTTGATTCTCAATCTGTTAACTGACCTACAAAAAGGTTCTGATTAGTCTACTTATACTTTCAAATATAAAAACTATAAAAGTCATCATAATTCAAATTAGCCAAATATATTTGAGTGCACTCTGATTTTGTTTTGTCTGTTAAACTGTTTCTCTGTCTGTCCAATCTGTACAGATCATCTAAGTATGTTTCTTGATTTGTCATATCCATAATCAGCTGATTTTTGAGCTCAAATATTTTTTTCTTTTGCATTTTTGGATTTGTTCAGAACTTAATATGGGTTATAGAGCCAAAAGCATGCTTCTACCTGAGTTGCCAGCTGGTCAAATGATGCTATAATTGGTTGTGTAAAGTTAATACATACTGTTGTTTATGTACCATCACTGGAGAACTCTTTGTTCAAAAATAGTGTGTTTGGTGTGTTTGGGGCTGGGGATTTAGCTCAGTGGAATAAGCACCTGCCTTGCAAGCAGGCAGTAGTGAGTTTGATCGCTAGTACCGATTAGAAAAAGAAAAAGTGTGTTAAGTGTTGTGATTGGGTTTCCCATAAATCATCAAAAAATTTATTAAGATAATTAAACAATTTGGAGAGATAAGATGATGTTCTTGAAGCTGTATAACTATCTGAATAAAGGTAATTTGAATTTGGACATAAAAAAAGATAATTAAAAATCCTTTGGGGTACGGAGATACTATTGGATAGGACTACCTTTTGGTGAATAAAGAAGCAGTTGCCTAGGAAAAATCATTGTCATCTTTGTTTATTAATGGGAGGTCCCGATAATCTCAATAGCCTTATGGGAGACACTTAATAAATGTTGTTAAAAATGTTACTATGAAGTCAGGCATGGTGGCTCATGCCATAATCCCAGCACTCGGGAGGCTGAGGCAGGAGGATCGTTGCGAGTTCGAGACCAACCTAGGCTACAAAGTGAGCTCAAGGCCATCCTGAACTGCACGGCGAGACCCTGTCTCAAAAAGACCAAAAAAAAAAAAAAAAAAAAAATACAGTTACTGTGTTAAGTTTACATTGATAATCATCAAAAGGTTAAGTTTTCCAGAAGTAGTACAATAAAGTTTTTTCATAACAGATGTTCTTGTTACAAACTAAGAAATAAAGACTTCATATGGCTGTGGGAGAAAAAAAAAAGAAAAACAAAACCCAGCCAGAACTACATAGTAGGACCTTGCCTCAAAAAACAACAAAACAAAACCCTAAGAACTTAGTGGGACAAGTTGAGGTCTCCATCTCCATTTTGGGAGGCCCTCTTCCAACCCCATCCAGTAATAGCGTTTATAGGCAGCTAAATGAGCAACAGTCTAATAGGGATAGGCCTTTGAAGGAGCCAGTGCAAAAGACCAGACACCTTACACAGTGAGGAGACAGACACCTCCCATTGTCCGCCAGACCTTAAGACAAGAGATAAAACAAATGCAACCACACCCTAAGGATAAACATCAGGAATTGGTATCCATCACCTTGATAAAGCCAAAAGGAGTTACCAACAGAACCCCCACAGGAAAGACCTTGTTCTGTATTCATGCTCACTTCTAGTGACCCGTTTCCCACGTGACTCCAATTTAATCAATTTTACCTGAGTGATTATACTCATAATCTTATTGGTTGACCACAGTTCGGTCCCACCTCATGCCCACCGTGGCAGTTCCCATTTTTCCCACGTTGGACCCACCTCACCTTGTGGTTTTGCTCTGTAAAAATCCCTACAAAAGGCAGGGTCTTCAGGAACCCACTCAGGATCCCTTCTGTCTCTCAATAAAAATATTCTGTTCTTAACCTCTGTTGTTCCTAAAATTTATTCCTCAATTTTAGAGAATACAAACTTATACTGGACATTTAGCAGGTTGGGAGTTTTTTTCCTCTATATCAATAGGACAATTCCATTCCACCACGGAGACTTATGCCAATGCCAAGGGACACTTCTAGTAGTGACTTGTGGTGCTACTAGTACCCGGGGGGTAGAGGTGAGGGGTGCTGCTAAATATCCTACAACAGTACAGCACAGCTCCCCATATCAAAGAATTATCCTGCACTCATATTTTGACAGTGCCTACCTAAGCTGAGAAACCTGGTCCTCACAAATTCTGCTGTCACCTCCGACTTGAATGTGTTCACTGGGCAACTGCAAACCAAACTCAATCATGAGGGCAATGAATTCAGTGAGTGAAAAACCAAAATACTAAAAATACTTCTCGGTATCAGTCATCTTGCCTCCCCTTTTTGGACAGGGAGGGCAACAGTTGGGAGCACTGGGGTAGATAAAGAAAAAAGTAACCAACTGCAAATTAGTGGTTTCAAATGCAAATACTACAACCTGAGTGGGCGTTAAGAATTTGGATGAGTTGTAACGCTTCTAATTTTGCCTTAAAATTTACACATTTGAGAAAAATGAGGTATCAAATATTTATCAAATTGAGAAACAACAGCAAATGTTAAGGATAATTTTTTTTTTTTTTATTGGTACCAGGGATCGAACTCACGACTGCCTGCTTGTAAGGCAGGCGCTTATGCCGCTGAGCTAAATCCCCAGCCCCTAAAGATAATTTTTAAAACTTCCACTTATTTTTGCACCATAAGCAGCTGGCTCCAAGGTAGGGTGGCAAGGGGGCAGAAGGGGGAGAATGGAACCCAGTGCTTTTGTACTGAGCTACATCCTAGTCCCTTTTTATTTCTGGGGACCAGGTCTTGCCAAGTGGCTAAACTGGCCTTGGCCATCCTCCTGCCTCAGTATTCCCAGTATCTGAGATTACAGGTGTGCACTATCATTCCTCACCCTAATCATGACATTTTAAGATGTTATCAAAAGCATTTAAAATATTTATGATGTAGAGAAACTTGCTTTTTGGAACAGAAGAAAAAGAACTTAAAACTTCATTACAAATTGACTCTCTCTCTCTCCCCCCACTCCACTTTTGCAGTCTTGCATCACCAGGAACTTTTGCCCCCTTGCCACCCTACCTTGGAGCCAGCTGCTTATGGTCTAAAACCTCTACAAACTGTAGCTAAATAAACCTTTCCCCCTTAAAAAAAGTAATTAATCGACACTGCAACACTATGAACACAATAAATTACCAATAACTAAGTCAAGTGTGCTGCACACCTATAGTATCCACATTTGGGGTGTTATCCACATTCTCTGCTTGAGCCCAGCTTGGTCAGTTTAGCAAGAGCCTTTCTCAAAATAAAGGGCTGAGAATGTACCTTAATGTGAGGGCCTGGGGGCGTTAATCCCTAGTATCTAAGAAGAAAAAAATTCTTCAAGTAACAAAACCAAATACATATGTTCCTAGCTTTAGTAAAAAACAAAACAACTGACAACACAAAAAAAAGAACAGAAAACTTTCAAGGCTTAAGAAAAATCAGAAGTGCTTTAAATTAGCTGTTCTTTTATTTGTTTCCCCATTTTGGTTTTCTGAAGCAGCATCTTGGTCTTGCTATGTAATCCAAACTGACTTCAAATTTACTAATGTAGTCCAGGCTGCCATGGAACTAGTAATCCTCCTGCCTCAGCCTCCAGAGTAGCTGGAATGACAAATGTGTGCCACCACTCCAGCTAAATTAGTTCATTATAAGTCTGCCCTAGGGGTGAGTCAGCTGGCTTGGTTAAAGGGGTACAGAAAAAATATTTTTTGTGGTTTTTTTTTTTTTTTTTTTTTGTCTTTTCCTTTTTTATTGGTACGGGGAATCAAACTCACAAATGCCTGCTTGCAAGGCAGGTGCTTATGCCGCTGAGCTAAATCCCCAGCCCCGAAAAAATATTTTTTGGAGAAAAGGTCTGGTCTCGAACTCATTGTGATCCTTCTATCTCAGCATCCCAAGTGCTGGGGGAAATTTTAAAAAGATACTCAAATGACCCTGATAAGTGAGGTCTGAAATCTGCTGCCTTAAAACAATTCAAATTCAAGGCTCATAAACTGGGCACAAATTAAGGCTGGTACAGCAACTACAGAAAAAAAAAAAATATATATATATATATATAGAGAGAGAAAATAAAAATTGGCCGGGCATGGTGGCTCACACCTGTAATCGAAGCACTCTGGAGGCTGAAGCAGAGGATCGTTTCAATCAAGTTCGATACCAGCCTGGGCTACAAAGTGAGCTCAAGATCATCCTGAACTGCATAGTGAGTCCCTGTTTCAAAAAGGCAAAAAAATAAATAAAAAATTAAAAATTAAAATAAAAAAATACAATGGCCAAAGAACATGGAAGGAGTTATCTCAACTTACAAAACAAGAATAAACCTTCTTTCTGCGGGGCTCAGGGTTAGTAGCTCTCAAGTGGGGCGGGACCCGGGCCAGCCGGAGGCTGGGCACACCCGACCCACAGGCGAGGAAGGCCCTAGAGAACGTTACCTTTTCCAGGTGCAGGCGCGACAGCAGCACCGGGTTGCAGCTCTGCGGGCTCTGGTTGTAGGAAGGGTGGTACTTCTCAGGCTGTCTTCATTCGGGGAGCCGCCGCAGGCCGCCACGGTCGCGGTAGGCACAGGCCCTGGCCAGCACTTCCCTGGGCAGGTGGCAGGATGTCCGCCCGCACATCGTCGTCGCGCTTGCCCTGCAATCAGCAAACACCGGGAAGAGAGCGCTCGCGGGCCTCCGAAGTGAGGACGTTATCTTGTGGTTTTTGCACTGGGTCCCGCTGTGCACCCAGGTCGGCCTGGACAGGCGGAGATCCTGCTGCCTCAGCTTCCTGTGCTGGTAGCTGGATACTGTAGGTCCCCATAAGTTTTTTGGTTGTTTTGTTTCTTGTCTTTTGAAACAAAGTTTCACTATGCAGTTCAGGCTGGCCTTAAACTCACTATGCTAAACTGGAACACCCAGTGATCCTCCCGTCTCGACCTCCCAAGTGCTGGGATTACAAGTGTGTGCCCTTAACCCAGCAGCCACCCGCGCTGGGATCCGATCCGAAACCCTTCCGCAGTTCCTTGGAAACTTCCCGGAGCTCCCGCCTTCGCCCCCAATCTGACGGCGCGCAGGGTGCTAAGGTGGAGAACAGGGTCCCCCAGCCAACTACGGACTCGGTCCTTGCGGCACCTCAGGCCGCGCCTCGGTCTGAGGAGTCTGTCGCACCACTTCCGGTCCCACTCGGTTTGAGGGGTCGCGGCAAAAGCCGACTCCCGAGAACACCGAAGACCCCAAGGCCTACAGCCCAAGGGTCTTTCCCGCGCTTCGCGGAACCCGGTCCCACGCTCGACGGCGCGCCTCGTCTCACCGTCAGTCAGCTTTGCAGCCAGCCAGTCGTCGCCTCCTTTCTAGCCGCCGCGCGCGCGCTCAGCCCCGCCCACCGCGCTCCGCCAACCGGAGCCGCCCTCCGGATAGGCCCCGCCCCCGCGCTGCGGCCTCGGGTGTCAGACCGCCTTCCGGAAAGACCGAGAAAGTGCCTACGGGACCTCGCGGTCCCCGGCTTCTCCGGCTGGCTAGGTTAACCCTCGACCTCCCGACCTCGCCTATGGCGCTCATGGGCGCCCCAGTGTCTAGATTCCAGTCCAGGTGGCTGCTCAGGGTGGGCCAACTACAGAAACAGGGAAACAGCTGGGCCACGCAAAGCAAATCACCCTAACCTTTGGGCATCAGAGCTAGACCTGTGACTGTCCTACCCCAGCACACAACCCAGATCTCCCAGGGCGACTTCCCCCTATTGTACCATTCTCCCTTCTTTCCTCCCCTTTTATAACTATTCTTCTACACCCCCCTTTTGTTTTCAGCTTTCTTTTCCTCATTTATTCATGACAATTCAGACTAATAATATTTTTATAGAGTTTATTTTGAAACTTTGAAAAAGTTTATAGCCAAAGGAAGACTCTTACTTTGTTAAATAATTTCTCTTTTCTTAACTAGAAAGAACATAAAAAAGCAGCAGTGTGAAGCTGTTGTGGGGGCCCAGTGTGGCAATGCAGTGTTGCGAGGAGCCCACGTGTATGTTCCAGGAATTGTGTCAGCTTCGAGCTGTAAGTACTGTAAGGTAAATGGTTCTCTAAAATTCTCGTGTATTATTGAATGGGAAGTTCATTTTATTTTACTGAGATGCTTTTCAGTTTTTGAATAGGTATTTTCCAAGCTTTGCATTTAATATCGCCAATAAGGACTATCTGATAAGGATGAGCAAATTAGGTATGCATGTAAAGTTTTCTGTAATGTGTTTTTGCTCATAGATATCTAATGAGCAAGCCTGACGTGCTCATCCACTATTGAGTTCTTAGAGATTCCCATTCTACTTAGAGACTACTATCCTACCAAAGAGCAGATCACTGTAACATGATTTTCTCCTTTCCTTAGTTATGAAAGCTGGAGATGTTATTTCTGTGTACTCCGATATTAAAGGGAAATGTAAGAAAGGAGCCAGAGAGTTTGATGGAACAAAAGTGTTTCTTGGAAATGGAATTTCTGCACGAAGCCACAAAGAAATCTTCAGTGGCCTATGCGAACTGAAGTATGTCACTGGGTGTTATGGGAGAAACAAACATGCTTTCTATGTATCAAGATTATTAAAAATAATGTAAACATTATCTGGTTGCATTGTATGAATATGTCTTTAATGTTAATTCAATAGGAAAATATTTTATCCATAGTTCCATGATTTTTGGAAAAAATCTTACTATTTTAAAAAGGGTGAAAGATGAGACTAAAAGTCCAATTAAGACTAGTCATAATGTAATTATTAAATGATTTTACTTGTCCTTTTGAATTTTAATGATTTGAAAATTTTTATGTCTTTGAAGAACATTGAAGCTTATCTTGATAGAAAGTGAATTAGATGACTCATCTAGATCTGTTTAACATTTTAGTCAGAAAAATTTATAATTTTAATGTAAATTAAAAATATTTGTACCAGAAAACCAACACTCATAATGTTTGGATTTATTCAATCCAAAATAAAGATACAATTACTTCTAAATTACCTCTAGCCACTTGTGGCTCTGAATAAATTCATAGATAAACTAGGTTCATATTTTACTTGTGTTAGGAATGCTGTAGACAGCACCAGTGCTCCAAGGTTAACAACCTACAAAACCATGTCAATTTGTCTGTCCAGAACTAGACTAGAACCCTGGTCACTTTCCCATGTTGCAGAGGTTTTTCTGTATGTTTCAAATTAATTCTTCTAAAGAAACAGAACATTGAATGGAGAGCAATGAGATTAGGATAGAAGAAATAAAACTAAGTAGAAAGGAGACTGAGAAGTTGAGATTTTAAAATTCTACTTTTAAGAAAAACTGTGGCTTCCAGACAAGCTGTTTTCCTGCTTCTGGAGGCCACTCTAGTTTATGTCACCCTCCTTCCATCCTAATTTAATGTTAAATTTCTAAAGGCCCTTTATAATAACCTGTCCCCAGACACTAGGTACTTCTGCAAATCGCCCTGTCCTCCAACCCAAAAAGCAGCTGCTTTGGAGACAGTATGTCCTAACTCCAAACAGCAAATCTCCACTTCAGTTCATGTGCCACAGAGGATGGCGGGCCCTGTAACCCAGCAGACTGGGAATACATGCCCTGGATCACCGTCTTGAAGGCAGCCTTTAAATGTGCCCTGCTCCAGCTGGTAGCTGCCTCATTTTTCTGAGCACCCGCACTCCACTCTTGTATGTTTACCCGTACCAGGGATCAAACTCACGACCACACGCTTGCAAGGCAGGCACTTATGCCGCTGAGCTAAATCCCCAGCCCCCTCCACACTCCATTCTTGAAAGCATTCTCTTAGCTCTAATCAAACCTTCTCTGGCCTCTTTTATTGATGAGTCCTGAAAATTCTTTTTCTATGACAGGAGTCAACAAATCTACAGAATCACTTTTAAAAAGTAAATGAGTTAAGTTCCTTATTTTCAGCCTCAGGAACCCTCAGACCCAGCCCAGTGACAGTAATACTTTATAAACAGCCAAGAACTGATTTTGTTCTTAGAAGGCTTTGTGACTATAAAGATTATGTAGCTGTTGGCTGTGTGTGGATCTGTAATAAGAACTGGTATTTTGATTGCGTCTGTTAGTCATTATTAGTGGTATACTTTTCATTTGCTTACTTGATGTCCTGGCTACAGTTACTTTGCTGAGTAGTCTTCTCCCCTTCCCTTCCCTTTCCTTCCTTCTTTCTATTGCCCTCCTCTTCCCTCCCCGTCTTTCTCTTTCTCAGTACTGGGAATTATAACCAGGGCCTAAATATTGGTAGGCAGGAGCTTTACCATGGAACTGTATCCCCAGCCACTTTGCATTTTACTATGAGCAAAATCTCTCTTTGGTTTCCCAGGCTGACCTCAATCTTGCATTCCTGCATTAGTTTCTCAAGTCGCTGGGCTTATAGGAATTACACTGAGGTGCCAGGCTGTGAATAATGTTTTCTTTGTTGGTGGGAGAAGAAAGCAGCCATTTAAAAATAAAGTTGTTGGCTTTCTCTAACAATGTGTATATGCTCTCTCTGCCCTCAGTGGTCTCTGGTCACCTCTGTGATTGCCGTGCACGTCACTGCCTCCCCATGGCCTGGCCCTTCCCTTGTTTATCAGCAACACTGCCACTCATGAAGTGGGACAGACGTAGAAAAGATCATCTTCCAATTAAGTCTGCCCTGGACAGTTACTCTATAAAAAGATGAGAGTAGTACTGTGCTTGTCACTGCTTAGCACCAGCAGGACTCTAGGAATTTTTTCAGCTTTTATACAAGTACCTAGAATAGTACCTCATAAACTCAATAGTCAAGAAATGTTTGTTGACTGGAAAGTTATTAACAGTGGTTATATGTTGGTTACTGGAAAGATTAGGACAATTCTGCAATCAGATATTCTTTACTTTTTAATTTATCCAGAATTCTAAAGAAACTCTTGTGCAAGTCAAAGTTTTGCCATTTTATCCTTTTTAATTCTGGCCTCTCCTTGAGGTCAACATTCAAAACCGATTCACAGCACTGTTCTAATTATTTACATGTTAGGTAAAAGTTATAAAAAGGCAAATCATTTTATACTTGACATGTTTGAGAAATGATGCTGTGTAATTGATGCGGGTTAATGTTAGGTTTCCTATTTTTCAGAGGTATAGGTATAAGAATGACAGAACCAATATATCTGAGCCCATCATTTGACAATGTACTGCCCGGTTACTTATTTTTACAGGTAAGCATTAAAGTAAGATATTTACGGACATTGAAACTTACTTCAGAGAATTTTCCCCCTTATATTAGTGCATTTTGTGGTTTATTTATATATAGTGTACATTATGATCTATCTTTGGTTAAATAGAGAAAATACTACAAGTACTCTTTTTTTTTTTCACATTAACTTTATTTATTTATTTGGTCTTTTTGAAGCAGGGTTTCACTGTACAGTTGAGGCTGGCTTTGAACTCACCTTGTAGGGGCTGGGGATTTAGCTCAGCGGCATAAGCGCCTGCCTTGCAAGCAGGCAGTCATGAGTTCGATCCCTGGTACCGATAAAAAAAAAAAAAAGGAAATGAACTCACCTTGTAGCCCAGGGTGGCATCAAACTCACAAGGATCCTCTGCTTCAGCCTCCCAAGCACTGAGATTACAGACTAACTTTTAAATTGCTACTAACTGATACACATATTTGACCTTAATTTAAGTGTTCCTTTTGTAATTCTGTGTAAGATTCAAATACTTCACTGTTACCATATTTTTTTCAGCAGTTATGAATTGTGACAAACTATTTTGATGCGTATAACTCACATTTTTTTTAACAATCTGCTAGTTAAGTGATACTAGCAATATTTACAGTGTAAGATGAAGATACTATAATTGAATTTAGCCCTTGAATCCTTGTTTTGGAGCAAATAAGATTGAAGTTGACAAAACAGCAAGTGATATGGAATGACCAAATGTATGTGTATTAGAAACAATAAAAGAAAAAAATCTCTGTTAGTTGGAGAAAGATGTTCCTTAAGTTGGACATCATAAGTATTTAGGTCTTTTGGGTTTTTATACAGTTTTGCGGACTGGTATACCTGACAGAAAGCAGGATGTTACTGGGTGTAGGTAGACCTTCCATGTCTGAAAAGCAAGCTGTTGTATTTGCATTTTATTTCTTTCAAGGTCTGGCTCATTTGGTAAAGACCCATTCTTTGTCTCTTCCACTTCATTGGATCCCAGTAGTCTATTTTGTTATGCTAATTTATTTGTTGCCAGCCCCACCTCCCTTTCTTTAACTGTTCAGGACCAGTGCCCTCTCTTTCTAAATTCTACCTGTCTTGCTTCCACCCTCAACATTAGTGACACTGACTGCGGTCAGGGTACAGTGGCCAGTGAACGGTCTTGCAAACTGCTTCTGCTGAGAGGGGCTATGGCTGGGAGCCAAAGAGCCCACTACTATGAATCCTATCTAAAGGTCCTGAATACAAGCCAGGAAGAGTGCTTGTTGGAGAGACTGTTTGCATCTTTAAAGCTGTTGAGGGAGAAGAAACAAATTTGATTAAGCAGTTGAGAAAAGATGGTCTAAATGTCAAGGCTACAAGGAGCATTAATGTTGGTCCTGTTAGGGGAGTCAGAATGTCAAATTTTAGATCCCTGACCATGATCTCTATGACTTAGACAATATTGGTGGATCTTTGCAAGCACAGTTGGCTAGTTTTTATGTTATATCTCTTGTTGTGTCAAACTGACTGGCATAAAAGCAACATTTCTTCTTTATTTGGTGTGGCTCATTTAAAGATAGTAAGTTTTATATAAGCATGTAAGTTTTTAGATGCAAGGCTATAGAAGGCCCCTTAGCTAAGCTAAGGCCCTTAGCTTAGCTAAGTAGGTAAAAGATTTTTACTGAATTTGTGGAGCTATTATTGTGGATTCTTAGCCTTATTGAACCATAATAGTGACAAGATATAGGTATAGTTGGACAACTGTCAGCAGGGGCCAGTATATAGGACCTGGAACCCCTTGTATATTTACCCTGAATTATTATTAATATTTTTACATGGTTTGGTTCTATTTTCTGGCTGTGTGTTTAAGACCGCGTTTAAGTGATACCCATATTAATTAGAATTACCCTATGGCATATATAAAGGTCAATTAAGACACGACAGGAGTTACTTTTGGAATCACATGCAGAGCCTCTTAGCTCCTCTGCCAGTGTCATCTGCCAGGATGAGTTATGGCCTGTGCTAGACCACAGGACTCTCCTTGAAAGAATGGAAACATGTTTCTCTTTATGATCCTCCCTCTAGCATGAGGTTTTTTTTTTTTTTTTTTTTTTTTTTTGTATTGGGGATTGAATTCACCACTTTGCTTTTGCCAGGCAAACGCTTACAAAGAGGTCCCTCATGTCTCATGTCCTTGCTGACCTTGTAAGACCAGAACCAAAATGGTTGTTTTTAATGCAGTTACATAATTAGCTTTGGTCTCAGAGCCTTTGTTGAATACCTAGGAAGTCAGTTGCAGCAGTATTGAAGTGAGAGCAACCATGATTGTCTTAGAAGTCGAAATTTTATCAAATAGTTGTAGATAGTTGGCATAATGTGTTTATAGGAAGTTTGAAATCACAAGCAAGATACATTTTAGCACAGCAATTGTGTTGATACTATTAGTTATGAACCATGGGCTATTTTTTAAACAAGTACTATATATCTAAACTTTCATTTTTGTATAGCATGTACCTTATCACAAAAAAGAGCCATAGATTATGAGATGGGGTATTTGTTTACTATCACTTCTTTAAAAACCAGATTTGAAGCTTTGTCTTTTTGTAGCAGGACTGAATCTATACAGCAAGTCCCACAGAAGTTAGGACCATCTCTCAATCCAAAGAAAGCCTACGCATAGGCCACTTTAGCAAATCCAATCAAGACATAGCACAAGAGGAGATCTATCCTACTAGCTTAAGAGAGGGCCAAGCCAGTGAGGCTTAAGAGAAGACTCTTACCAGTGTCAGGTCGCTCTGGGAGATCACTGAGAGAACTTTACCTCACCGCACTGAGGAGTGCAGGTCAGGACAGTGGGCAAGTGGGTATCTTTCTACAGGGTCTGTGTTGGGCCGCTGGAGGAGCCTTTGGGTACTCACCAAGGCGTCATCCTGGCCAGGGCTGCTCAGTTGCTCCCTCAGCTTTTGCTACTTCCTCACAACCAGAGATCTGTCTTCTGAGAGAAATCCACCTTCTTGTCTGCTGACAGTACTGAGATCAGATCTAGTGGGTTGTTGTCTAAGGTCATACAACCACTTCCTGCCCCGTGCCATGTTCTCTGTCCTTGTATTGGGGCAAAGAATATTGGTGCCAACAAAACTGCAAGGAGCAGGGAATGACTGAGTGCTTATTTTTTAGTTGGGAAGAATTAGAAGAAAGCTCCCACCCCAGTGTCTGGGAGGGGGTTCATCAAGGTAGAAAAACTGTAAGTGCTTAAGTGCAGGGTCTTTTATACAGCTTTTTGGTTCAGGTGAATGTGACAGGATGCAGGGATGCCGCTGGTGGTTGCCAGCCCTTTGATGCCCAGGAAGCAGGCTGTCTTGTCTGTTCAGCCTTCTAAGGCTCCTTGTAGTGTGATTAGTTACATTTGCTCTGCCCTTTGTATTGCATTAGGCCCTCCCAGTTCAGGTAAGTTTGAGCCCTTGGGTTATCAGCTCACGTAAGCCCTGACTTTAAGTCTTCATGTTCTGTGCCCTGACTTCTTTTTACCTCCTGCCTCAGGCATATTGCTAGGAATTGGTAGTCTCAGCACAGACCAGGTGCATGTACTTTCTTCTCCAGTATTAAACCTAAAGAGATTTTACCAAGTAGAGATTCTTTCTGAGGTGAAAAATGGAAAATACTCTATGTATTGTCACCTAATTGTATAATTAGTGATATAACCAAATACATAATTTCTTAGGACTCATCTTTGGTGTGTTGTTTGCTTAGCTTTAGCTTTTTACTTGTTGTATAATCTGTTCTTAAGCACTTGTGATCATTTGATGACATAGCCTGAATCATTGTTAGTGAAATCTATACTGCTCACTAGCAACAGTGATTGCAATATTGTTTTTCCCTGTTGGAAAATAAAAGACCACATATCTGCTTATTCTATATTTAGTTTGGAAAATAAAAAATATAGTACTGTGCAATTTTTTTCTTTAGATACCCTGCAACCTATAGTAAGATCAGCACAGCTCTTCATTTTAAAATCAGCTTAATGAGGACCTCATGAAGTACACAGTGTGAGACATACTGTGACTAATAATATACTAATGTACTTTGCAGCCAGGCAACATGGCAGCGCATACGTATAATCCCAGCACTTAGGAGTCTGTGGCAGGAGGATTGCCGTAAATTCAAGTCCAGCTTGGGCTACAAAGTGAGTTCAAGGCCAGCCTGAACTATGTAGTGAAACCTTGCCTTACAAAAAGGCCCCCAAAATTAATAATAATAGTAGTATTCTTTGCCACTCTATAAAAATGACATAAGACTTTACCGTTGGAGTAAAACTTTTGTATTCGAGAGTGGAGCTGAACTTTTGTCCCTTCTTTTGCAGGAACTGTTTATGTAATCTATCCAGATGTCCAGTCGCTGACCAGTGAAACTTACTAAAGATGATAATGGCAGTAGTAGCTAACACTTAGCGTGTTTTACACTCACTATTTCATGCACTCCCCACAGACTTCTACTCTCACCGATAAGGAAATTGGGGCTTAAAGAAATGAAGTGCGTAGCACACAGTAGGCAGTTAGTATTTTTCAAGTGATAAACGAGTGGTTTGTTGAATACCACATCCGTAGAAATCAGCAAAGTCAAAATGTGAACCTAGATCTTTCTGTCCTGGAGCATGTGTTCCTGACCTGATGTCAGTGCCCCACACATAACCCTGGGAAGGGCTGCAAAACAGGAGCAGATTCCCTGGCGACATGAACGACTCTGATCTGCCACGGAGATGAAGTGCCTTGCCATAGCTGGGCAATGGGGGGTTCCCTGGAAATTTAGGAGCTTCACTAGGTCTGAGATGGATGCTGGAAATCTGCTTTTCATTTGTTTGTATATTTTGAACTTCATAAATGTAATGTGATTAAATCCAAGTTTGTGAACCACCCTAAAAGGAAATAACCTTTAGATTTCCCCAAATAGTAACCAACAATTGTTTAATATCATGCATTGGATTTACACTAAACTTCAAGCTTTATACAATTTAAACTTTATTTATTCCCTTAATTGTAGCAAATTCTCACTTGTCTATAGTCAACTTTTATTTCTTATTTGGCTTTTCTGTTTTCAGTTTGTCTTCCGTTGTCTAATTGTTGTACTTTGGGAAATAACATTTTCCCTGATGTGCTTCCACTATTGCAATAGACTGTGCTTTTTTAAAATTGGAATTCCATTATATAAGAAGTAGGCAGAATCCGTAGCTATCTTATTTTGCTTTTCTTTCCCTTACTTATTGATGCTGTAGGATGTCTGTCACGTGTAGCACAAAAGTTCACAGATGTATCAGACTGAGGGTATCACGTCTGCATCACATCTGTGTGTTTCTCATTGGCCATGTTCATTTTGGTCACTTTTTAACATCTCATTTTTCATAAAAACATAAAATCACTTTTTTTCCCTGTGCAACTAATAGTCTATAGGGAGACTAAGAATTATCTGAATACACTGCTCATTAAAATTTGCTCTGAGATTTAGCATCCACCTATAATTATTGCCTGAGCTAGTCATGACTACAAGATGTCTTTTCCCACTTCAGCCTACAATTCTGTCTTAGTTTTCTTGTTGCTGAGACAAAATACCTGACACCCAAAGTTAAAGGAGGAAAGGTTTATTTTAACTCAGTTTGTAGAGGTTTCAATTCATAATCGACCAACTCCAAGGCAGGGTGACTTTGCAGAGGTACAATGCAGAGGAAAAACGGTTCATGGCAGGCAGAAGCAGCAAGCGGCAAGTGACCACAGCAGTCCTGTCTTTTATATCCTGTCCAGACTGCCCAACCTCAATCCTAGCATTGCAACCTGAATCAATCCCAGCACCACATTCTTGATCCCAGCAGCACACATCCTACATTCAGCCGCCTCCAAAATGCTCTCTGCTATGTTCACAAGAGATTGAGGAAGACATCTAGATATAAGCCATAGCACCTCTATATTTAACAGCCAACATTTTAATACGAGGTCCCTCACACCCTATTATTTTCTAATAGTATGTACTGACAAATTTTTATTTTCACATGGTCTATAATTCATTATTGTCTTTAATTATTAAATGCTCAAAGTGTCCCAGCTTTGGCTTATTCTCAAGTTAGTTTTAATCCATAACATATACAACAATATTCCTAAACTTTTTTGTGAAAATGTAATACAAATCTAGTAAAGTTCGTTAAAATGCAGATTCTGACTGTATGTCTGGGTGAATTGTGAAATGTTATATTTCTGACAAGTTCCCAGGATTTTGGATCTCCTTGGTTTGAGGACCACACTTTGAATACTGAATCAGTGGAAATATATTTAAAAGTAAACACCATTTGTACAGAGCAAAAAGTAAAAACTTAACTGTTATGTTCATTCATGTGTTACATGATCTAAGACTGCTAATTTATATAAATGTGCATTATGTACACTTAGATCCTTGAAGTATAAAAACGCTACGTATCATGGCTTTGTAATTAAGGAATTTTTGTCTCACCTGTCACTTATCAATTGTTAATTGTCAACAGGGTCTGATGCTTTTAAGTTGTAAGGGCTTTGTGCTACTTTTGGGATTTAATTTCTTGTAATTTATGGTATGTACAAGAAGATATCATGTTACAGTATTTATAATAAAAAGGACAGGAGTGCAGGCCAGGAGATGAAATCTCTACTTCCTTCCTGGAAGGGGCAAGCTCTTTTTAACTGTGGTGCACAGGCTGGTGTCTGGTGTGTGCAATAGCAGGCATTCTTTAAATTAAAGGAGTAAGTGAATAAAACCATCTGTCTACTTTCTGGTTCTGAATTTTAAAAACAGTAGGATTTGTATAGAGGTGGTGTATTTTGGCAGTGAGTGTTTATTAGTATGATACTAGCTTGATGAGTCCTGTACATAGCTTAGACTTACTACTTTTACCTGCTTCCTGTCGGAGATGGAACAATACGAAATAATTGGTAGTTTTTAAGACAAATTTCAAGATAAAAGTATTTCTAACTGATACACTTTCCAGTACCTTCTGATTTTAAAAAGATCCAGTAGTCAATAAGAGAACAGATTTCTCTGGAAACACGTAAACACTGGGGACTGCCAGGCTGTGCAAATGTGTGTTACCAACAGAGCCAGTGAAGAAGGATTCCCTGGCTTTCACCACTCCACATTCCCCAGAGAGTTGATGGGTTTATCTCCCATACAAATAAGGAAACTAGGGCTGTTGATCCAGCTGCTAGTAGCAATAAGGCCTTCCCTCACCCTAGGCCTCAAAACTCAGCTGTTGGCACGGTAGAGACCTCCAGACTAGAGACCGTTTCCTTTTCGTAGTTTTGCTCATAATGTTCCTGGAACAGCCATTTAACTCCTGTGCTTCTGGATTTTGTCATTAAGAAGGAAAATTACCCCTACCCCAGCTCACTGAAGAGCTGCAGAGGAAGTGGGGCTGTGCATACATTGAAACACTTGGTTCCTTGGGACAGAAGTTGCAACTGAAGTCAAAGTGATATTCTCGTTTGCTGCTTTCTTTCCTGTTTGCTGTGTAAAATCTGGCCAGTAGAAAAATCTGTGATGGTATTTTACTTTGATTCTGTTCCACCCTGTCCCATCTAACCACACCCAACCCAACTAACAGAGATGGACCACTGGACATTTGCACGGAGCTATATCCCCAGCCCTTTTTTACTTTCCTTTATCTCGATTGTTTTTATTTTATTGTTACTTGGTTTTTGGAGACAAGGTCTTGCTTTGTAGTTCATGCTGGCCTTGAATTCACTATGGAACCCAGGCTGTTGTTGAACTTGGCTGATCCTCTTGCCTCAGCCTCTCAAGTACTTGGATTCCAGGTGTGTGCAAACACACCCGCCTTCCCTTTTATATTTTGAGACAGGGTCTTGCTAAGTTACCATTTGCCTCTGCGGGACGTGAACTTTTAGATCCTCCTGCCTCAGGCTTCCAGAGTGTTGGGGTTACAAGCATGTGTTAGCAAGCTCAGCTGTCCTTGGGGTTTTCAAAGTGTTTTTAAAATTTATTTTAAAAAGTTCAATCATAAACTGCATCTTCATGCAAGATGACATTCTCTAGTAATCTGTGCTATTGTTTTTTAAATTCGGTGTTTGCATGCATACTTTACTTTTCATTACTACCTGTTTGCAGTGTTTGCATTCCTTGTGTGGAGTTGGTACACATACATAACACTGATAATTCCTTTTCCTCCCTCCCTATCTCTTCCTTTCCCCTGGCTGCCTGAACTGGCCTATAGCTTCAGAAAACTGATGAGTTTCTTGAATGTTCAGTTACCAGTGAACTTGTGAAAAGGAAGTTACACCTTGAAGAATTCATAGCTCTTGTTTGGTCACTGTAATTACTCTGGAGTGCTTTCAGTCCTGTGGTGGGTGGGCTCTTGAGTCCTCCCTGAGGTGGGCAGGGAGTGCACAAAATGAGACACAGTCAAAAGGGAGTAGTTTGTAGCAAGCGTGTTTACTCAGACACAGTACAGTGCACTCTGCAGGCTCAGTGTTACAGGTCAGGTAACAAATACACCCTCAAAGACCGAGAATGGGCACTGCCCAGATATGTCGAGGACAGTGAGGCCGGGTCAGGTTTTCTGGTTCTGTGTAGAATTTGGGCAGTGGCTAGGATGTGGTAATTAATGCAGCTTCCTTTCCATCAGTTGTGGATCTCCACCCTCTTGTCTGGAGGAGGAGTTTGTGCACCTGGTTGGAACCAGCACAGCAACCTAAATCTCTCAGTGCAGTCAAAAGCCCCAATAGAAAATACAAGTAAATGAGACCACCTGGTCAAAGGGTCACCACAACGTTACCAGGGCCCAGTGCCCTAAGGATGTGACTGGGAACAGCAGGTGTAACAGGAGTCAGAGGGGTAATTTGCAAGGGGCATGATTTGCTCTTCCAAGAAGTGCAGGGACCACAAACTCAAGAAATTTATACCGTGACTGTTCTTAGAACTTTTTCTTACAATCCAGTTTCTCAGATGTGTAGGTTATTACTGGCTGACTACATACTCTGTCATCATATTCTAGTTTAACTGGAGGAAAGAAAAATAATGCCTCAACCTGAACTCTAACTGCCTGTTTTCTTGCACACATTTGATTAAAGGGTCAGAGAAAGGTGGACCACCAGGGAGCAGTAAATAAATTCTGCTATCTGGGCCCTAGCATCTGAAGTGTTTCAGTTATTCCTGGTTCAGGCCTGAGTTGGAACACTGAGAAGCTTCACTGGGTGGTTGTATAGCTAAGTTGGAGATGCACTGGCTAGCGTTACTGCACAGCTAGATGCATGTTAGACTCTCTGGGGAAGATTTTTAAAGCACCACTATCAACCCCATCGTTGGAAATCCTCATCTAACTTTTCTGTATGGGGACCAGATTTTTTCCTAAGCTCACCAAGTGACTTTATTGTGTATCCAGGATTGAGAACTATTTTAGAGGATGATGGTAATTTATTTGTAGAACTACTTTAGAGGATGATGGTACTTTATTTGCCATCAATTGACAATTGAATGAATGGAATAGAAAATGTGCCCTGTGTTTTCTTTCTTTCTTTTTTCTTTTTGGTATTGGTCATCAAACTCACGACTCATGCTTGCCAGGCAGGCACTTATGCAGCTGAGCTAAACCCCTGGACCCTGTTTTCCTGTATGGATATGTTATGTAGTTCTCATGAGATCATAGTATACTCTAGGAAACTGCAACTTTCTTGACTTAGTATATTTGTAAAAACTGTTGTTACCAAATTTGAGGATACTGTGCTGAATTATCTCGAAAGTTTCCTTTACACTCTCTAATTCTAAAATTAGAATTGATTAGAGTCATTGAACAGTACTTGCATCATTTTTCTTACAGAATTTACCATCTGCTGTAGTAACTCACGTTCTACATCCTCAGCCCGGAGAGAGGGTTCTAGATTTGTGTGCAGCACCTGGAGGTAAAGCAACACATATTGCAGCACTGATGCACGATCAGGTGAGTCTGTCTCCCAAGAAAAGTCATCAACATGCTACAGATTTCAGTGGTGAAGATGGGACTGTGTGTGACTTGGGATCACACTGATACCATAATCCAATTTACTTCCTGTTTAGCCGGAGTGAGGACTGTTGGGTTATGGCAGGCACTGTAGCTTAAGGTCAGTAGACAGCTGCCACTTATACCTGGGTATGGTGGCACACTGCTGTAATCGCAGACTCAGGAGGCTGAAGCAAGTGGATGACTGTGAATTCAAGGCCAGACTGGTACAAACTCAAAGGCTAAACCAGCCTACACAGTAAGACTTTGTTACAAAAAAAAAAAAAAAAAAAAAAGATACTTGCCACTTATTAAGACTGTCCTGAGACTTCTTTTTTTTTTTTTTTTTTTTTCATACAGTCTTCTGTAGTTCAGGCTGGTTTTGAACTCAGTAGATAGCCTAGGTAATTATACACATATGGAGATAATATATACACAGGTGTGTCTTAAGGATCTTATAAACTGTATGATCTGGTTTAATTTTAAAGCCTGTTTCTTGAGCACAGAATTTAAGTAAGCCTGGCTTTTGATAACTTTGATTTCAGTGTTACTTTGTTTGCCTATGCGTGTGTATTTGCTAAGTTGTTTCCTTTTTCTTTTTATAGGCTGGATTTATCTATGTTCAGAAATCACTGAAGGGCTGAGAGTGTGGCTCAGGGCTAGTGTACTTACCTAGCGTGTGCTTGGCTCTGGGTTCAGTCTGAGATGAGCAGGCAGTAAACTGTGAGACCAGAGTCTAGGGGAGAGGTCTGCTTTGCACATAAAAATTTGGGAACCATCAACATACGGACAGGCTGATGGAGAATAGAAAGGTTCCGAACAGTGAGCCATGTGAATAGTGAATACCAGCATTCATAAGTTGCAGATATAGGGAATGGCTGGCAGTGTAGGAGGGAAACAGAAGAGTCTGATTACCTGGAAACTGTCTGAGGAATGGTCGAAAAAGATGTTATGATTGTAGTACTAGTGTATATATAAGAAAGTATGTAACTGACGTAAAAAACTTACCTACGTCAGACTTACAAAAGCCCCTTTGCTCTAGCTGATTTACTTGATAGAAGATACTCTCACTCTCCAAAGTGATAAACTCATTTTTCATCTACATTTGATAATTCTTAACAGTCTCAAGGGACTTGCAAGCAATAGTTCATTGAAAAAAGTAGAAATATCTACCATTAGGTTGAAGCTATATATTTCCTTTTATTAATATATTAATTTTTTTTTGAACCAAGAACTGAACTCAGGACTTTGCACTTCCCAGGCAGGTGCCATGCCACTGAGCTATACTCCATTAGTATATTAATTATCCAAAGAATTTTGATGAAAGTTCCCATTACACTTTAGTACGTAACTTTAACTCTATTAGAATTTCTGAAAATACAGTATTATAAACAAAGGGGATAATATATATATTATTTATATATATTTATATGTCTATACATTATATATTTTTATATATCTATATATTATATGTTTTAGATATATATTTAGATTCATATTTTAAGTAAGTAAATTCAAGGCCCAGGAGTACTATCTTTGCATACACACACATTCACTATGTATATATGTACTATATATATTCACTATACATAGAATTTGCGGTTTCCCTGATACAACCTCAACAAGTAGCTTCAGTTTTAAGGAATCTCTCCAATAGAAAAAGATACCTGAGGTTCTTGAGGCACCTAGGCCTGTGGCTTCTGGGTGCAGTGAAGTGGAGCAGCGGGATAGAGACCACTACATCCGCCTCCCCATCCCGGCTACACTTGGAGGTCTGCTGAGCTCCCGAAGGGTGGGCGGGCCTACACTATCCCCTGAGCCCAGCCACGCCTAGCCATTGGTGTGCAGAGGAGGAGCTGGGCAGATCTGGAGTGCCTGCAGAAGCCCCTTCCTTTGTCTGGAGGATGTGGATATCTCTGCAAGCAGGGAGGGATCGCAGGCTCCTGAGGCACTGCGGTCTGTGGTGAGTACCCTAACCCTGCTGCGATTGAAGAGCTGTGGAGCTTCCAAGGGGCAGGTGGGCGCACAGTGTCCCCGAGGCCCAGCTTGTCTGGAACTGTGGAGTTCTGAACAAGCAGAGGAGGGCCATTGGTTCTGCTGGCCCAATGGCTTGGGGTAGCGTGGTGCCAGAGTCTCAGTAGCTGCAAACATAGAAGGGGATTTTCAACAGATCCTGAGGAAGCTTTCAAATAACACTTGAAACACAGAAATATAGGAAAATGACAAAACGAAAGACCAAATTACAACCTCAAACCTCCAGCCCATCTCAGGAAACCCTAGGAGGAATGTATTTAGAAGAAAATATTTCGCATCCACCTCATATATCAGACACAATAGCTACTGAAGTTGAGAAGCAACTCCAGGAAGCTTTAAAGAAGTTCAAACTCGAAATAATCTCCCAGATAAAAGAAGAAATGGTAAAAGAAATGAAAGAGATTCTAAATATATCTAAAGAAAACACAGATAAAAAATTGGAGGAACTAAACAAAAAGATAGAATCCCTAGACGAGCAATATAAGAAACAAGCAGAATACATAATGCAGATGCATAGAGATATACAGGAAATAAAAAACTCCACTGAAAGTTGTAAAAACCGCCTTAATGAAAGTGAAGATAGAATTTCAGACCTTGAAGACAGGATTGCAGCTAGTGAACAGGAAAGGAAAGATCTTTTAAAAATAACAAGGAATCAGCGAACAAAAATTCAACAATTGCAAGACGATGCAAAGAAGAATAACATAAGAATGATAGGGATTAATGAAAAAGAAGGAGACAACATAAAGGATGTCAAGAGGATATTTAGAGAAGTAATAGCTGAAAATTTCCCAAGCATGAGATCAGAAACTGACATCAGGATCAGTGAAGCATATAGAACTCCAAATAGTCATAACCAAAATAAAACTACACCCAGACATAATAATCACCATCCCAGAAATCCAACACAAGAATAGATTATTAAAAGCTGTCAGAGAGAAAGGAGACAGGTCACTTATAAAGGAAAACCTATCAGAATCACAGCAGACTTCTCATCACAAACAATAAAGTCAAGAAGAGCATGGAGTGAAGTATTCCAGATCCTAAAGCAAAATGATTTCCAACCTAGACTGATATATCCTGCAAAACTATCATTCAAAATAGATGGTGAAATACAATACTTCCATGACAAAGAACAGCTGAAGAACTTCATGAACACCAAACCAACCCTGCAAAAAATATTGCAAGACAGTTTAGATACACAAAGGAGAAAACCACTAAGCAAAGCAAATAATTAAACAGAACAGAAAGATAAAGATGCAACAGCCGAGAGATAAGATTCCTACAATTAACCAGCATTTAACAGTAATAATCATTAATGTAAATGGTCTCAATGCACCAATCAAAAGAAACAGACTAGCAGAATGGATCAAGATACAAAATCCAACTATATGCTGTTTACAGGAAACCCATCTAACCCAGAAGGATACTCACAGACTGAAAGTCAAAGGATGGAAAACAACTCTTCATGCAGCAGGAATCCAAAAAAAGGCAGGAGTAGCGATTCTGTTTGCAGACAACGTGAACTTTAAACCAACAATGACCATAAAGGATAAAGAAGGTCACTACATACTCGTAAGGGGAAAACTCCAAGAAGAAGAGATAACTGTCTTAAATATATATGCACCAAACTCCAGAGCACCCAGTTATATAAAACAATTATTAACAGAAATGAAAACTCAAATTATCAGTAACACAATTGTAACAGGAGACCTTAATACGCCATTGACACCAAGGGACAGATCAACCAGACAGAAAATGAGCAAAGAAATAACAGAACTGAATCATACCTGTGAACAAATGGGTTTGATAGACATATACAGAATGTTCCACCCAACAACATCAGAATACACATTCTTTTCCGCAGTACATGGATCATTTTCTAAAATAGACAATATATTAGCTCACAGAACATATTTAAACAAGTGCAAAAGAGCTGAAATCATCCCTTGCATGTTATCGGATCATAGCGCTCTGAAATTAGAAATTAATGATAAAAGATACTGCAAAAATCCCACAAACACATGGAAACTGAATAACACACTCTTGAGTAATCAGTGGGTCACAGAAGAAATTAAAGAAGAAATTAAACAATACCTAAAAGAAAATGAAAATGCAGATACAACTTACCGGAATCTGTGGGATGCAATGAAAGCCGTCCTGAGAGGAAAATTTATTGCACTGAGTTCCCACATCAGGAAAACAGAATGAACACAAATAAATAACTTGATGCTACACCTCAAACAGCTAGAAAAAGAAGAGCAAGCCAAGCCCAAAGCCAAAAGAAGAGAGGAAATTATAAAAATCAGAGCAGAAATCAATGCAATAGAGACTAAGAAAACAATCCAAAGAGTCAATGAATCAAAGAGTTGGTTCTTTGAAAGAATAAATAAAATCGATAAGCCCCTAGCCAACCTTATTTTAAAAAGGGAAGAAAAAGCTCAAATTCATGCAATAAGAAATGAAAAAGGAGAAATCGCTACAGACCCAATAGAAATACAGAAGATCATCAACACCTATTTCGAAAACCTCTACTCTCAAAAGTTTGATAACACAGAAGAAATAGACAGATTCTTAGAAGCATCCAGAGGATGTAAAACTGTTGAATAACCCAATCTCTGTTACTGAAATTGAAAATGTAATTAAGTCCTTACCCACCAAGAAGAGCCCAGGCCCAGATGGATTCACTGCAGAATTCTACAAGAAATACAAAGAAGACCTAATGCCGACACTCCTCAAACTATTCAATGAAATTGAAAGGGAAGCAATCCTTCCTACGTCATTCCTGGAAGCAAATATTACTCTAGTACCAAAACCTGAGAAAGATCCAACTAAAAAAGAGAACTATAGACCGATCTCCCTAATGAACACAGATGCAAAAATCCTCAATAAAATATTGGCAAATAGGATCCAGCAAATCATCAAGA